GACATTTAACTGCCCTATGGGAAATTAGGGATGGGCAATAAATACTGGCTAAGCCATGATTTCCATATCCCATGAATGAAGAACAAACAAAAGGATATCTTTGTTCTATTCACCTTCTTTGCAAGCTCACTGCCTATGCTTTTGTGAGTGTATTTGTCCTTTGGTTTTATTATTTTTGGAATAATAAAATTCCCTTTCACTCATGGAAACCTTTGAATTGGTTATTCTTCATTTTGAAAAGCTGTTTGTTACTTTCTAAATCTTTTTAATAATATGATATGCTGATTTTTGCAGTTATATTGACCTCCACATTTAATTTTTAGGTTAACTATTCTTGTAAAGCAAGGTGGCATCTACCCAGAAATACAACTTGTGTCGTTCAGTGGTTTATACTTACTTCCTACATTCCCCTCTGGGAATTCAGTGATCTCACCCTATTATAATCTATTTTTCTGCATTTCTTCAAAGTTGGTTCTGTGTTAAATCCAAAACCACAGCTGTGACCCTCCCTTACACAAGGTCACTACTTTATTTAGTTATGAGTAATGAAACTAAAGTAGTATATGCTCCATCTCTTGTTGAAGACAAAGTGCTAAAGGGAACTTTCCTCAATTAGTCAATTTGACTGTTCAATCTATTTATGTTCTATTTGTACTACTGTACTATCTACCTGCAAACTTATACATACCTACATAATCTTAATGGGCCAAAACCCCTTTCCATCTGATTCACCAGCAGTACCTACATACAGGCAATTAAAATGATGCATTTTTTGGAATACTTATCATAAAATGTGTCAATGTTGATAACACTTTATGTATACAATATTCTGAATGAAGAATAAAAATACATGGTCAGCTCATTAGTATTTCAGCATTAGCTTAGTCATGGCGCTCTTGCCTTGAAGTGAGAAAGTTGTGGGTTCAAGACCCACACCAGAGTCTGGAAGACGTAATCCAGGCTGAGTGAGATCCACACTGTCAGGGGTATTCGTTCTTTGATGCAATGTTAAACTGAGGGCTCATTCTTGGGTGAAAATAAAAGATCTAATTGGACTATTTTGAAGAGTGGTGGAAGTGTAATTCCCATTATCCTGACCAATATTTATCCAGCAACCAACAACACTAAAAAAAATTTTGATAGATCGCATTTTAGTTTGCGAACACTTGCTACATGCAAACTGGCAGCCAAACTTCCTATATCACAACATAATTATCCTTCAAAATGTACTTAGTTTGCCATAAAGTTACTTTGGAACAGTTGGAGGTTGTGAAAGGTACTATATAAATGTAAATCAATGCTTAAACTACATTCTAACAATGAAGTATTCAATTTTACATAATAACAACAATGTATTTACATTAGTACATAAAACTGAGTGAAATATTTTACAAATTGGTGATATTTATCTTTATAGAAATTCTGATCAAAATATAACCCTGCTCTAAGTATGGCATTGACTAGGAAAACAGTAACATAGTTATAATGATTTGGTTGCATCAAGCTACATAAAGGGAAGGTGATGGCCTAGTGGTATTATCGCTGGCCTGTTAACCCAGAGACCCAGATAACATTCTGGGGACAAAGTTTCAAATCCTGCCACGGCAGATGGTGGAATTTGAATTCAATAAAATATATGGAATTAAGAATCTAATGATGACCGTGAATCCATTGCTGATTATGGGGAAAACCCATCTGGTTCACTAACGTCCATTAGGGAAAGAAACAGCCATCCTTACCCAGTCTGGCCTACATGTGACTCCAGACCCACAGCAATGTGGTTGACTCTGAACTGCCCTCTGGGCAATTAGGGATGGACAATAAATGCTGCCTAGCCAGCGATGCCCTCATCCTGTTAATTAACAAAGAAAAAAGTGTTCTTTAACTGGATTTTCACCATTAAATATTATTGCACTCCAGACCAATAATGATAGGAAATCAATTAACTGTGTACATAAAATGTAAGTAGGCCAAGAGGCTGGTGGTGATCTTGATGGAAAAGGAAGCCTGTGTGTAGCCACTATTCCAGTGCAGTCTTGGCTAGACTCCCACACTCTACCCACCATAAACTTAGGTTCATCCAAAGCTCTGCTGCCCAAATCTTTTACAAAGTCCTGTTTACCTCTCACCCTTGTGATGGAGACGTGGTTTAGTAACAGCTTGACTTGAACGTTCTATCTTGTTCTGAAATTCCTCCATAGGATTTCAATCTATATACATTCTATTTGTATTACTGTATTACCTACCTCCAAACTTATACATAACTACACAATCTTAATGGGCCAAACCCGTTTCCATCTGAGTTACCAGCAGTAACAACGTACAGGCAATTAAAATGATGCATTCTTTGGAATACTTATCATGAAATTTGTCAATGTTGATAACACTTTACATATAAAATATTCTGAATTAAGAATTCCCACCCTAACCCTCACCCTCCATAAGGTCCTGGCATCATCTCTCTAGCCTACAGTAACCCTAACAATCCTCAGATATCCAACCACCTTCAATTCTAGTCACTTATGCATCCTTGATTTCCATCACTCCACCAATGGTGATTATACTTAGTTACCTAGGACTTACGATTTGAAACATTCTCATTAAAACTATGCATCCATTTTCTACTTTAACATAGAAATTTAGGAGTAGGCCATTCAGTCGTTTGTGTTTGCTCCACCATTCATTAATGCTCATGGCTGATCCTCTATCTCCATGCTATATTTCCACTTTCTCACCATACTCCTTGATACCTTTAAAATCTAAAAATGTCTCGATCACTTTTCTTGAATACATTCAGTAACTTGAACTCCAGAGCCAACTGTGGTTACAAAATTTCACAGGTTCACAAATCTCAAGGCCTAAATGATCTATCCCATATCTTAAGAATGTATCCCCTGGTTCTAGAATCCCCCAACCAGGAAAATATCCTCTTTGCATTTAGTCTGTCCAGCCCTGTTTGAATTTTACACGTTTCAATCAGATCCTCTCTCATTCTTCTAAACTCTAATAAATTCAGTCCTAGTCAAACCAATCTCTCCTTAAGGGACAGTTGTGTCATCCTGGTATCAGCCGAGTGAAACTCTGCTGCGCACACACTATGCCATATATCCTTCCTCAGGTGGGGAGACCAAAACTGCATGCAATACTCCAGGTGTTGTCTCAACAAGACCCTGCATAACGATATCCTTATTTCTATACGCAAATCCTCTTGCATTGAAGGCCAATCCACCATTTGCCTTCCTCATTGCTTGCTGCACCTGCCTGTCCATTTTCATTGGTGTAGAAGGACACCCAGATTCCTTTGCAGCAGACAAGCAGTAGTTCTTGAGTATTTAAAAATCCAGAAAGGGAAGGCTGATATTAAGGGAATTATACGGAGTCTGAAGCAAAAGATCCATGAGCACACCTTGATGAACCTACTCATCCTGCTACTGGGCATGATGAGCATGTTCTGGGAATTGAGAAGGGCAAAAAGCAGGAGCAAGCCACCACCCTCAATGTTCTCTGGTACCACAGCCGACACAAGGTCCAGAGAACCAATTCTTCTGTTCGGATGCCTTTGGCACGAACCTTGTCACTTCTCCTCTACTAATCATTGAGTAGTTGATATTCTGCACAGCTAACCAGAGATGGATGTAAGATTTGTAGTATTGGTCAGTGTACGAAGGTGAGTTGGTCTCTCTGAGTTGTTAGCTGCGAGTTCCCAGTGCCAGGGAATTCTGGTGGGTGAGTAATGGAGGACTTGTGTATTGACAGTGAGAGAGAGATAGAGTTATCGTGTGTTATTCATTGACCTCAACAACCCTTGTGAGATCAGCAGACGTCTTGCAGCATTGCTGCCAGGTTCACTGATCCAGACTCTGGAAGGTGACCTCCTTGGCCATCTGATCTCACTTCCACACTGTTACTGCTCTGCCCACTAGAACTGAATGTCTCCAGCATCACAATCACTACTGTAAAGACCACATCTTTTTATTTCCTTTCTTAGTCCACAGTCCAAAAATAAAGGAAGATATGCTTTAAACCAACAAAACTATGCAAAAACTTAGCTACAGTTTAAAAGACCTCTTTACTAGAGTGCATTTTGAGGTGTTTACAATGTTGCTCCCCCTGGAACACACAACATAAATCCAACACCTTGGAGTTGATGGGTTCTGAACTAAGGAGGATAACTGCTTTACAACAATGTTTTGATTGGCTCCTGACCAGGTAACCATGGGTCATATGCAACCCGTGAAGCAGACAACCATCTAACTTGCAAAGAGAAATCAAAAAAAAAACTGTCTTTCATTCCAATGTGGACAAAACAGAAAGTCACCATTAGCAACTAGTTGTCTTCCACTCACCTTTCTCTGAAAATCTATTTTTGAAAGCAGAATAAAACATCTTTAAGGAGAGTGAAAGACCAAATTCTCAACCAATGCAAGAGCATTGGTGTAAAAATGTGAGAAAAAAGAACTAAAAAGGAATTGAATATCGATTGCACTGGTGCTATTAAACTGTTTCCTCAGCATTTTTCCTCTGTCCTTAATATTCTGACTTGTCTGTCTTTGTGTGACCTGGGTGTTGCTGGCTGGCTTGCATTTATTGCCCATCCCTAGTTGCCCTTGAGAAGGTGGTAGTGAGCTGCCTTCTTGAACTGCTGCAGTTCAAGTAAGTTTAAGAAGGGATCAAGGGAGAAGTTGAGAGACAGAGCGAGAGTATGAGCTGGAGCATTCGGAGGAGTTAGCTAAGCCCAAGCCAGTTGCTAAGTAAGAAATATGATGGTGAAAGCAAGTTTTGGTGGTACCTGATCAAATGTGAGAAGTTAAATATCAGTTTCAATGTAAATGTTTCTTTCATCCACTGGTGTGAAAATTAACACCCACAAATGACTATTAACATTTAAGGCTGCATTTCACTTCCAATACAAAAACACAGATCAAGTTGTCATTAGCAAAAATGATTTTACTGAACACATTATCTTGCATTCCGTCAATATTTTATTCTAAATAACTTACCGGAGCTAACGGCTGTCCTGGAATGGAGACTGGTGGTGTGAAGGGCCGGGCATATCCAGGTGCGCTTGTTGCTACTTCACTGCCCTTCACAGGAGGTTGCACAGGGGCACTAGCTGCTGTCCTGGACGGTGTCATGGTACCTTTTAGCTTCAACATATTCAGGGCGTCCCTGTAAAAATTCACATATTCAGTGTCAGAGTACAAGTGACTTGTTCAAATGTTAAAAAAATTTTTTTGTTCTTCACCATCCTTTCTGAAGGATGGCAGCAACCATTGCCGATGTGACAGAACTAGACACCTGAACTACATTTAAATTTCTGAAATCTCAGCTTCCATATTGATGTGGAGATTGTCTCATATGGGGAAGGAAAACTACATTCCTTCTACTGTGCACTTGTTTCACATTCCATACCCTGGAATTCCCTTGCGCTTTCTCTCTCTCTCTCCCCTCCCCAATTCCATTTCTACCTTTTAGAACCTTTCCTGAAATTGCAAAATTTATCTATTTCTTTAAATCGTGCATTTTTGTTCTTTAGTGCTTTTCTTCCTAGTGTCTTTAAAGTGCCTTGGAAGGCTTTCCTAAGTTGAAACTGCAATATAAATTCTATTTGTTATTTGCTATTCTTCATTACAGAGAGGTAGACAATCGAAACAGTTACTCTATATTAACGCTGCAGGCTGCCTCTTCTTTCATAACAAAGATCTCTTTGTTAGTCACTTAGCCCCAAGAACAACGGAATGTAGGACTGAAAGAAAGGGCTACAATGCACCATCACAGCTCTGGAGTTTACTTAAAAAGAACCAGTTATCCGTGTCAGCATTGTTCCAGTTTGGATGTTACCAGGTTAAATAGAATCAGTTGGATTGATAGGCACCATAGCACATTCAGGGCTGTGTCCTGGTCTACACATGAAATAGAATCAGGTTGTAGGGTGGACAGGAAAAACGGCTGCAGTCTGCTCATTGAGTACTGGGAAAGGTGTAGCAGTAATATTTTTGTGAGGAGATTCACTACTAAATTGCTAAATCTGCCACCGATTGTCAATGTGAGTTTATGCTGCCAGCAATGCTAATGAATAAGGGCTGCATCTTTAAAGCGCACCAGAATTTTTCAACTCTGAAGAGTTCAGTCAATCAAGGCGAGAGAGCATTCTTCTTTTACAGCCAAGTAGAAGATGCAGATTGTAATGAGCAGCAACAGGCCAAAACATGCAGGTCTTTCAGGGTGTGAGTAAATTGGATTAACTTCAGGGAAGACAGTCATTAACCCTAGGGGTTTTCAACTTTAAGTGCATACTTGATCAGTTCTCACATTGTTTGGATCAGAAATGTTAGAATGGCATCTGCAATCTTCAAAATTGAAGAAGCTCATTTTTTAAAAACAGTCACGAGATAGAAAGAAAACCACTTCCTTAATGTGCAGGAGTTTTAAAACGTATCACACTACTTGGTAAAGGGAGAAATAAAAATCCTGCAAATCTATTTTTCCACTGTTAACTTGTTATTTGTATGTCAATTGTGAACACAAAAACCTGGAAGAACAGATCGATAGCATTAAGAAGAGTTGGTAAGCTGAGCAGAAAGAAGGGAGGGAAGAGAAACAAAGATAATACAAAGAGACCCTTATCTCTCATCATTCTTTAGCCAAAAAAAGTTAAACAAAAACCTCCCAAATTTAAGTCAGGCTGACTTAAGTGACCCAGTCAGTCCAAGCTACAAAGTCAGATTCATTGTCTCTTCCAAGTTTACTACAATGATCTTCTGTAGGCTCTTAATAAAATGAACCACCATACATAATTAAAAACGTTCTCTGGCAGTTCATTTTGTTTCAGGCCATTTTGGAACTCCAGCACCATTTGTTCACGTTGTGAAAATAATATCTGCCCAAACAACAATAGCAGAAAAGATGTATAGCTCACTGAATTACGTATGTATGCATGTACGATGAAGAACGTACAGCTCTAGGTTCAGAATCTCAGATTCATTTTGGATCATCAATCAAGGTGGTTAACAGGATTTTATTTGATTCATAGACATGCATACCCTCAACACTTGAGAAGAAAATTGTGATCTCTATCCACAAACAAATTCCTAGTGAGATCAAAAACTAAGGATATAAATAGCTTTTAAAAGCGTTCTACAAATTATTTCAGCATTCATATTGAATGTGTTAGAGGATTACAATGCAATTAAAAACTAAAAGGTTGGATTTTGTTCTTTCTTGAGCAGCACCTGGCACAGATCTGATTTTACTCAGCACGTCAAGGAATGTTGCAATGAAGAAAGAAATTGGAGAAACTCAGCAGGTCTGGCAGCACTTGTGGAGAATAAAAGAAGAGGTAATGCTTCAGGTGCAATGACCCTTCAGAACCTGTTTGAAGAAGGGTCAGTGAACCTGAAACGTTAACTCTGCTTTCTCCCCACAGATACTGCAAGACCTGTTGAGTTTCTCCTGCAATTTCATTGTTTCAGATTTCCAGTATCGACAGTTTTTGATTTTATTAAGCAACATTGAAATGTCACTTTGACAGTTTTGTGAAAGGCAAAACTTATTATCCAATGTAATCCTCATGAAACAGCACGGTAGTAAGTATTTGTTTCAGGCACTCCTAGAAGAACTATCCCTTCTTTTTGCAGATAATGATACATCAGTGGAGGACATATCTGGCAATCTAATACTCAGCCTCTGTAACATGACCTGTCTAACAGACTCCTATTATGCATGTTTCTCAGAAGGTTGATATGGAGACTGTTGAGTGATGGATGGGTTTCTGCCTGTACCTCATTGCTCACCTTACTGATCAAGATGTTTTTTGAAATAGCCAATGAAACAACTCTGCAATCAAATGATTTTTGGCAATTTGCAATCACCAGAAGCATCAAATTCATCTACTGGCTTGAAACCAAATGTAAGGATATTTGTCTTCTGTCTCTTTGTCTCTAATCAAAATGGACTGGTAAGGAAAAGAAATGCAGGTTTAATTCCTGCAAAGGACATGGTGTGGTGGCTCCCTTCGTGTACCCAATCATTTGATCCTTTTCCTGCGCTTCCCCACCATGCTCTCCTGAACATCAAGAACATCACCTCTCCTCCCATCATTCTCATGATTAAATGACCCATTTTCCTTTGCAGCATCTTTACACATTCTTCCATCACCTCCTCCCCATACCATGCATGTTAGAATATACGTTTTGTCAAAAGTGGGACAAAAGTTATAACCCCATGCCTTTATGTCAATGATTAATTTAACGTTCAGTTAAATACTTTAAGACTAATTAAAGATTCAGTGTGGCATCTACAACATTCCCAAGGTTACAAAGGATGATTTATTGCAAAGAATGCACACATCATATTCAGCTGAGTACAACCCCACCTTCATTTCCTAAATTCACAGCACAATGGCAGTGCTTATAATCATCGCTAAAATGACACGACCCGCCCTACCCAGTGACCTTGACTCTAGGTTTTACATTAGGCATCATTAGATCAACATTCAAGAGTCCAAAATGCTACACAGCAGAGCAGTGGTTGTAGGATTAAACAAGTTTATCTAATTTCACGTATAGCATGTATCCATGAAAGGATTAAAATTATCCATGATATTTAACAGATTTAACCAGTCACTATACAGAACTTAATATAGAATGGGATCAAGTAAAGCAGACTGCTGATTTACTAATCCAAACATGTCCTTGGCCCAACTCTCCTGCCTGAACCTTTGCTATCTTTTCTCGACCTAGGATCCTCTCATCTACACCTTACAATGCAGCACTGTTTTACTCTATCAGCTCACAGCCCTGCATCTCAAAGAAAACACAGAAATAGGAGCAGAATAGACCAAATGGCCCAGTGAACCCACTCCATCATCATAGTGGTTATAGCTGATCATCCAACTCAATAGCCTGTTCATACTTTTACCCTCATATCCTTTGGTCCTTTTAGACCCAAGTGCTATATCTAAAACTCTCTCTTGAAATTATACAATATTTTTGCCTCATCTGCTTGCTACCCTCTATCCACGTGCCCTTTTCATGCTCCTTATCTCAAAATCCCCCAAGCCATTCTTTTCCTCTCACAGTTTGACCCTAAAGCCCCATATCCTTCTACCCCTGCAATTTCATCCAATCTCATTTTCCAGTGCACTTTCCCCACCTCCAGCAGCAGAATATGAACTAATAATTGTAAAGGTTTCTTCTGTTAGTTTCCTAAGACGGGCATCGGGGAATTGCTTTTGGCAGCACTTAAGGAAATGATGGGTCAAACTGATAATGTCACTGGATTAGTGACTTAGAAACCCAGGTGAATGCTTTGGGAGTATGGGAACAAATCTCACCACGATCAATGGTGAAATCTGAATTTGATGAACAAATCTGAAATTAAATCCAAATTTAAGTGCTCATGTAATGTCTAACGTGAAATCATTGCCAATTAACTTCAGAATCCCTCCTGTTACCTCATGGCCTTTAGGGATAAAAATCTGCTGTCCTTAACCAACCCATCATACACGTGACTCCAAACCCTCAGCAATGCTGTTGACTCTTAAATGTCACGAGCAAGATACTTGACTGAACACACAGCATTAACCTAGACACCGGATTTACAATAGAGAACCGAATCTAGTCTATCCTGCAAAGTCATCTCATCAACGTCTGGGGCTAATGCTAAAATTGAGAGAGCTGTTTCACAAATAGTCAAGTAACGAGTCAGTACTTACAAAACCATATCTCACTGACAATGACACCATCACCATCCCTGGATGAATGTCGTGTCCTACTGGCAGGACAGACCCATCAAGATAGTAGCAGGATAGGCAAGTAGGCCCAGTGCAGACTTGCAGCAGTTGGTGAGTGGGCCCAGCATGGACATAGCTACTGCGACAGAAGTGAGTTTGGGTGCTCGGCAGCATCCGTACCCAGTGCAGATTCATGGAAGCAGGTTTGGGGCCACTAAGAGACCCTGCAACATCAGCAGCAGCTGCATCAGCGAGGTTGGCCTGAAGCAGACACATGGTAGCAGCAAAGTCGAGTTTGGGTCAGTGCAGTACCCAGTGGCACTGGTGACCTCTGCATTGGCGAGGTCCAGTGAAAACTCACTGTAGAGGGTGTCGGCGGAGATGAGATGGCACCGAACAGTGACGACTTCCGTTCCATTGGTGGCAGCTGCATTGTGAAGGGGACTTGTGCCTGGCCACCAACCCCATAGTGGAGCACTTAACAAGAAGCACTGTAAAGGTGAACACTTTCTCTTTATTTCAACAATCTTCTGCCTTTGTATTCTATGTTTTGTTTTATTTTTCCATGTTTTAAGATGCCGCCGGAGTGGCGACACTGTACAACACTTTTCAATGTATTTTGTTACAAAATACAAGTGACAATAAATAAATAAATAACCTGGAGATACTTGCCATGAGTGTCCTTAACCACGCATTAGGTGAAAAATGGGGAAGGAAACCTCTTGCTAATCACCACCAATACATCAGTGTAAAAGGTGAAGCTGAAGCATTCGTAACAATCCTCAGCCAGAAGTGCAAAGTAGACAATCCATCTCAGCCTCCTCCAGAGGACCCTAGCGTCGCATATTCCAGTCTGTAGCCAATTTAATTCACTCCATGTGATATCAAGAAACAGCTGAAGGCACCAGATTACTGGAAAGATACAGACCTTGACAACATTCTAGCAACAGCAGTGAAGACGTGCTCCAGAACTAGCCACGTGCTTAGCCAAGCTGTTCCAGTACTGCCAAAACACGATTTGGAAAACTGCCCAGGTATGACTTATCCATGAAAAATAGGACAAATCCAATCTGGCCAATTACCACCTTATCAGGCTACTCTCTAACATCAACTCAAAGATGGAATATGTCATCCACAATACTATCAAACGGCCCACTGACAGACACTCAAGGCAAGTAATGCACCTGACGCCCCAAAACCTGTCCACCATCCACAAGGCACAAGTCAGGAATGTGATGGGAAAACTCTCCATTTGGATGACTGCAGCTCCACCAACATCCAAGAATCTCAACGCTGTCCCAAATGAAGCAGCTGTTTGATTGGCACCACATCCATCAGTTTCAACATTCACCACCAATGCAGAGTGGCAGGAATGTGTGCCATCTACAAGATGCACTGAGACAGCCTCACCCAAGCTCCTTCGACAGCACCTTTTAAACCTGCAACCTTTACCACCTAAAAGTACAAGGACAGCAGATACATGGGAGCACCATCAGCTACAAGTTCCCCTCCAAACCGCACACCATCCTGGTTTGGAAATGTATTACTTCAAACTTCTTCCTAAAAGTACTGAATGTGTCCTACACCTCAAGGACTCCAGTGGTTCTCGAAGGCAACTCCCTACAAGATTAGCAAAGGCATTTAGGGTTGGGAAATAAATCCTGGCCCAAGCAGTGACATTCCATTAATTACCTAGTTAGAAAATATTGTCTACTCCAAATCAGGGAGTTTCCTTGGGTGGGAGTTTCCTTGGGTGGGGGTTTAAACTGAAATTAGGCATGAAGCAAGGGCTGACCATATGAGTTAGTTGCTTAAAAGGTGAAAAAGAGGGGGAAGGAGCAAGTGGAACAAATGGTAAAAATGTCTCACAGCAAAAGGCAAAGGGAGCATCTAACTTCCAGAATCAACACTGGATTTAACAACGTCAGATCACAGACTCTATCCTCCATTTTAATTGTCCTCTCTTGCTACCCCATCCTCCAATATTTTGTTCGCATGAGTTTGATCTCAGTAGAGGTGACCTATTTCCTGCTATCAATATCTACCATTAACACTGGCTCTTCATCTATTAGCTATTCTCTCCTACCATTAGAACACCCTTTGCATTCCTTGTATAGATGGGCATACTTACTATAGCACCATGATGTGGAAATGCCTGTGTTGACAGGGGTGTTACAGAAGTTTCAAACTGTGTGGACAATGTGTCAACAGCTAAATAGCAAGTGGTTGGATGCCATATGATCTGATTAATTAAGGCACAGAGATATCACAAAACCTTCTCAGAAGGCAGATACAGGACACGACCGACAGAGTACCCTTTTGTCGTCCAGGACTTCCCCAGAACGGAGAAACTATGCCAAAGATTGATGTCGAAGAACGTCTCACCGAGGCCATCCCTATGTTTCCACTTCTTGCCTTCAAACAACCCACCGAACCTGAAATCGACCATCGTTCGCAGCAAACTACCCAGCCTTCGGGAGAACAGCGACCACAACACCACACAACGCTGGTACGGCAATCTCTCCAAGATGTGCGAGATCATCAACATGGATACTGCCATCACACGTGGGAACATCACCCATCATGTACAAGACAGGTACCCGTGTGACCAATGTTGTCTACTTCACATGATGTAAGCAAGGATGCCCCAAGGCATGGTATATCGACAAGACCACGCAGACATTACGACAACAGATGAACAGACACTGTGCAACAATCGCCAGGTAGGAGTGTTCCCTCCCTGTTGGGGAACATTTCAGAGATCAAGGATATTCAGCTTCCAATCTTTGGGTAAGCATACTCCAAGGTGACCTTCAAGAAACACAACAAAGCAGAATCACCGAGCACAAATTGATAGCCAAATTCCGTACCCATGAGGACAGCCTCAACCGTGAGAATATTGCACTACGTGATCCCACCATACTGTTGTGTTTGCAGACTCTTCCTTACTGTTCTGTTTTGACACCATCACCCTGATAACTTGTTATGATCTCTCTACCTTACTTACACTGTACAGTTTTGGATTACTTGTTACTTTGGTTAGACCCTTGTCATGCAAATGTTATATCTATTATGTTATTCCAGCCTTTGGTTTGTCTCTAGCACCACCTTATTTTTGATTTTTTGTAAGTATCTCTCTGCCGTAATTCATTGGATCATAGATCATCCCTTCACTTGCCATTCAGATGTTGACACTTTTGATCGGTTGCAAAGACGACTTCTTCAGTCTGTCGACACTCCACTCACACCATTTGTACTATTTTCTGACACTTAACTGTCCACCTATAAATTCTGTGCCTGTGTGCTTCCCTCCACTTCACCTGACAAAGCAGCAGCGCTCTGAAAGCTTGCGATTTCAAATAAACCCGTTGGACTATGGTGTTGCGTGACTTCTGACTTTATAGCATCACAGACATTGAAATGGGAAGGCAAAACAAATGTAGTGCTGATAGAGGGCAGTATAGTCAAAGGGGTGGATACTGTCCTCTGCCACCACCACCAGGAGTTGAAAGGTTGTGTTGCATTCCATGATACTGAGGTTAAAGGTATTTCCTTGTTGGTGAAGAGGGACTGGTGGTGGTGGTGGGAGGTGGGGGTGCTGTCGGGAGAGGAAGCATCCAGTTTTTGTAGCCCAGGTAGAAACCAAGGACAGCTAGAACTAGGAATGATCTTCATTAGACTTATGTACTTGCACTGTGGAAAGAGGGAGCAGTTCTGTGCCACTGGCTCCTCTTAAATCGAACTAGGATCAAACTCCTAGTGAATCATATAAATTGTTCGGTAACACTTTAAAACTAAAAGAGAAGATGCAGACTTTTGAGGGAAGTGGGGAGTTGGGGAGGGTTCTGGAGACTGAAGACTTAGAAATTGAAGGAGAAAAGTCCAGAAAACACAGGAGTGTAGTGATTTGGGTAAAGAAAAGCAAAGGCGACAGGAATAGACAAAGAATTTAGTGTTAACATCAGCGCGCCAACTCCTGCAACGATTGGCAGTAAAAAAATTCTTCAGCTTGATGCGTAAAGCATTTGTAATAAGAAAAATGAATTAATGCCACAAATAGGGAGAAATAGTTTATATCAATCCACCATTACGAGATGTGGGGCTGGCTTTTCTGAGGCGTGACAATCTCACACCGATCTCTGACAGTGGTGGTGGGAGTTGGAGATCTGATGCAGAGCGGGGCATAGGTCCCTAAGCATTATTGGGTTCTGGTGGTTGTCAGGTTTATGGGGTCGAGGAAGGACTGTAGCATTGGAGATGCGAGGCAAGTGTGGTGTCAGTCTAATAATTATTCAGGATCTAGACTACGCATTTAATAGTGTAATATTTCCTGAATAATGATTTTACTTAATTAATTTTAACTTCCAAATTCTCAAATGTGAGTGGAGATTTTCAGAGGGCTCCAGGTGGAGAGGAATTGCCCAACAGAATCATAAATTTCCTTGGCAATTCCTTTGGAACGTGATACAAGAGGATTTTACACGGTCCCAACTGGCAACTCCCATCTACACTGGAACAACGACTGTCTGGACTTTGGAATCATAGCCCAAACCTTCCAAAGTTGGGAAATAATACTAGGGTACACATCACTTCCAAAAGACAGGCTGAGTGCAAGAACAGGACGATTGAATGATGACATAAGAACTGGTAGTTCAAAAAAAAAAACAGGATGTAGAATGAGAACGGATGGAGTTTAGGAGGAACAAAATTCAGCAAACAGTGGTGGGATTATTTTACAGAACCCCCTCTCTAAGAACAGTCACACCACTGGCAAAGAATTCAACATGAAATAACTGAAATTTGTACTTAAGGCAATATGATCGTTGTTAGAATAAAATAGCACCATTATTATTTATGAACATGCACAAAATTGGAAATATTAATGCAAGCAAATCTAAATCACTGGTTTCTGCTGTGCAGATTGGTATAAACCAAATTTAGCATTTACCTAATAACGTTAAAAAAATTACTTCGCTGATCAAACATCTTA